CTCCTCCAGATCTCTGCCTACGCAGATTAATATCTGCAGTCCACAAAGGAGCCCTGTGTGCCCCGCAGGACAGACTCTCAGGACAATGAATCCACTGTTTGACAACAACATCTCCCACTCAAGCAAACTGACACACACCCCTCAGTCCTGAGATTATAGGAAGCTCAGTCTCCCTGCACTAAAGGTGATAATTGAAGGACAGGGATGTGCTCCAAGGCTTTTCACCGTGTCATTCATCCTGACTGCAGAACGCTGAAGTAGAGTTGCCAATGGCTTTGACGTGTCTGCCTTCTACCTGTGACTTTCTGGCTGTGGTGGGCTACGTTACAATTTCCAAACGCAACCTGTTTATAGTTTGTATTGTTTCTGGAATTTAACTCAAAAAAAAATAAGTACGATCCAGCTAAGGACAAATAAAACTCATACAACATTCTGTCAGACCCTGATTCTGAATTCGCAGTGATGTGTTAATGTTTGATTTTATTTTGCCTGATTTATTATATAATGCACACCACTCGAGTCATTAAGAGGGAGAGGGTCTGGTTTTTCTTGTTGGTCACATGTGCATACCCCCCCCCCCCCCCCCCCCCCCTCCTGCACAAATGACCTCTTCTTTCCTCCTATGACCCAGAAACCAATGTTCACCACACTACTGTGTGTTTCCTTCTGGTGCAGTAGTGGAGGAGGTAAGAGATAAGCTATTTTAAAACCTCCTACAGTGGAGGATGTTCACGTGTATCCTTTCCAGTGGACAGATAGATCAAATCACCAGTGTAAAAGTAGACGTGAAGTACCACCCATGGCTCAAATGGGCGAAAGAGGATAAGGGGATGGAGAACAGAAAGGGAGGCAGAGAGATGGAAAAATGCAAAATACCTTCAGACAGCCTGGTGTGTAATAAAAGGTTTTACTTTGGAGAGACTTGTACATGTTTGTAAAATGAGTGTTTCCCTGCTCACTCTTGTACCACGTTGACGAGGATAAAACAAACGATCAGCATGCACATGTACTACTATTACATCTACTGCAGTATGTGTTTGAACTTGAGAAATAAAGCCAAATAGATTCTGGCAAAGTTATGAGAGGGATTTGAGTCAATGAAAGAGCATGTTATATGTGTTTTGTCACAGATTGACATATTCAGTTTGACGCAAATGGAGTTAATGGCTCTCTGGGTGATATTTGAGTACAATTTTCTTCTATAAAAGTTTTTTTTTATGGAGATGATTAGCGAGTGTGGCAGTCCAAGCTACGCTGTCAAACAGAAGATAACACTGAGTCAAACTGCTGCACAGATTTCCCGCATGATATGATTTTGCCAGTTTTCCTGTGTAGCCAGTTAAGTTTTTATTAATTAACACCAAGGAATTTGGCTGACTGCAGCTGTGAGATCCCTTAAAGGTACAGTGTGTAGAATTTTGTGATATCTAGTGTTGAAGTTGCATGTTGCAGCTGAACACCCCTCACCTCACCCTCTCCTTCAAACATGAAAAATAACCTGTGGTAATTGTCATAAAAACTCTAAAGGTGTTTAATTTGTCCAGTCGGAAGTAATGTAACCAACATGGCAGCCTCCATAGAGAGGGTCCCCTCGATGTAAATATAAAGTATTGGAATATAAAGGGTCTATTCTGGGGTAAAGAAAACTACAATTCATACAGTTTAGATGAAACAAACTAGTGAAAACATCATGAGGATTATTCTACATTAAATTTCTGCCAATAGTTTCCTTTCACCTAAATCTGACACACTGGACCTTTAAGTAATAATTTGAGCATAAATCTTCATTTTCATCCTTTGAATAGAAACCTCTTGAAATATTTGGGGAAATTTTAGACATTGGTGAACACAAACCTAAAAATAAAATTGAGCTACATCAGCTTCATCCAACTGAAACGCACACTGAATAAAACACTACGTTTTGTTTAAAGGGCATTTATGTGAGTCATCAGCTGAGTCATACTTTTTCTATCTGTGATGCTGAGGCACAAACGCCAATCAAACCTCCGTCCCTTTCCCCCCACAGCGCTCTGAAGCCACGCCCTTCCCCTCCACTGCCCGTCTCCTCTCTGCTCTGTCTGGATATTTCTTGGTGAATGATAGTTTAAAACAAGGGGCTGGAAAAGGGAGTGTCTGTGGACATTTTTTGGGGCCAGCCTTGGTATGCATGGGGGGATATAACTGTGGAGGGTTGGGTTTTTAGAAAATGTGAACGATTTGACCACCGCACATTTTCAGCCAGCCCACAGATAGATTTGATTTTCTCATTTTTGGCTCATTGTGTCTCAATGCTGGCCAACAGTGCAAATCAAAGGGAACTGCTCCCTCCTGGTGCCAAGTGCAATGATTCCTCCCTGCTGTGCAAGCAAACAACATCCCCCTTTCTCTTGCATTGCTGTTCTCTCAGGTACCATAGAATTCACTTTTAAGTTAAGTGTGTTGCATAAGGCTCTTTTGGTCACTGGTGGGTTGAGGGGTGTCAGGGGAGTATTTGACTCACAGCAGTCCTTTACAGAAGTATGTAGAGGCAGTGACTGTGGTTTTTTTGTTGTTCTTGCATGTTCCATTTCAAATGTTTGACCATAGCTTTTATAAAAGAAGCATAAATGTTCTGTAAAGCAACTCTAGGGCCAACAAAATACATATGGAGCTTTTTGTTATGAATTACAAATTCAATTGCCCTTTTTTTACAGTTGCTTTCTGAAATGTTGGGGTTTTTGTTTTAAAACATTGAATCATATATTTGAAGATTCATCTTTGAGAAAACACAACTGATCAGTTAAAGGAACATTTACATATGAAAAAGAGAAAGTGTTATTACTTTCCTACTTTCACATTGGTTTTCAAGAGGAAATGACCATGGTGACTTTTTATTGAGAGTTCATATGCTAGTGACTAGAATTAACTACAATTAGGTGCAGAGTATCTACAAAATGACCAAGATGAGACACAAATGTCCACAGAGCAACACAAAATGATGAAAAAGAACCTCAGAATGACTACAATGCATAATTGGTTCAAAGGAATGTAAAGCAAATACAAAGAGACACCAAATGACCACAAATAGATGCATAATGAGCAGAAAAAGACACAAAATGACTCCAAGGAGAAAGAAAAATGGTATAATGGAATTTAAAGTGACAACAAGGTGATGCAAAGGAACAATCACAACGATCACAATTTGACGTAATATGACCATAAAAGACACAAACTGGCACAAAAAAGTGACTCGAAGAATGACACAAAATAGATTCTTAGGGAGCACTGAGACACAAAATGGAGAAATAAAACTGGTACATAGCAATACAAAGCAATTACAATGAGACGCACAAAACGACCACAGGTTGACATTAAGTGACCGCAAAAGACACAAACTGCGACACAAAATGACCACAAATAGATGCAGAATGAGCAAATAGAGACACAAAATGCCCTGTATCTTTCAGAATCTGCTTTATTTGCCACGTATGAGTACACATACTAGGAATTTGACTAAGGTGTAGTAGCGGTCAGTGTACTTACACAATTAAAACAGACTACCAGAAACTAGCACAAAAAAAAGCATGGCCACTATGTGCAATAGAGTTAAACTGTACAAGACAGTGGTGCAATGGGAAAGTGTGCAAGAGTGAACATTTACCTACTAATTATGACCATGGGACAGTGGTGCAGAGTGCACAGATGCTCAAACAAATCGATAACGTACAGGTTACTTATGTGGGGTAGGTGAATCATATGGTGCAGAGTGCAAAGCTGCTGGATCAAGTATGGATCATTATGTACATGAATCATTTATATACACAGAATATAAAGTCCTATTAGATTTATATGGTCTGAAATGTGTATGTGTAAACCTGAATTGAGGAACAGTATAATAGATAATAAATTATTGGGGTTTGTGGTGGATGACTAATGTACAGGTGTATTGTTTTTGGCAATGTAGACTGGTGAAGTGTTAATAATCCCTTATTACAAATTTAGTACAATTATGATGAAACTTATTAAAGGGATAGTTCACCCAAAATTGAAAATTCCCTCATTATTTACTCACCACTATGCCAATGGTGATGGTTGGTGGCAAAAGCAAAGTTGGTGAAATGTTTGAGTCCACAGCGTCGCAGCCAAACCAATACAATTGAATTAAATGCTGACGGATTCTTCAAACGTACTAAACAACAGGGGGAAAAAAACACAACATGTGTCCATACTGCTCCTGTTGTGGTATCCAAGTGTCCGTAAGCCCCGACTTTAAAATTCATCATCTACACCATGTTTTTAGTGTAAACGTCCGCTGTTAGCCGTGTTCGCAGGCACACTGCACATAAGCTTTCGGCAAAGGGTGTGTGCGGTAGCATCGCTATTTCCGGTAGCATCACTACTTCCAGTAGCATTGCTGCATAGCTGCAGTTATTACTGAGTATCACTGATGTTGTCTCATGCACCCTTGGGTGAGAGCATAAAAGCGTGAGCTTGTGCCGTTTGCGTGAGCGTGAACACGGCTCCAGCCAGGAGGACACCAGCAGACATTAGGCTGGAAACATGGTGTAAATGATGCCGTTTCGGGTCGAATGTGAATACCAGGGCTCATGGACACTTGGATGACATTCCATGTTTTTTTATCTGTTGTTTTTACGTTTGAAGACTTGGTTACCAGTCACTTCAATTGTATTGGATTTGGCTGCAATGCTGTTTACCCCTGAAACTCCAAAGGTGTTTTGTGGACTCAAACACTTCACCCACCCTCCGTCGGCACAGTGGTGAGTAGATGATGAGTGAATGTTCATTTTCCGGTGAACTATCCATTTAATATCATCCATAAAACCAAGTGTAATATTTTATCGTTGTTATTATGAGGAGGGGTTTCCCCACCACACTGGTATAACACGAGCCCCCCCCCCCCCGCACTATTTAACGGGCGGTCCTTCTTATTCCGCCCGTGCGGATGAATCCACGAGTGTGAGCAGGCCCTGCTTGTCAGTCAGACTTTGAACGGTGCACTGGCGCTCATCACCGCCGCCACTAATCTCCCTCCGACCGCCGCCTGTCATCACCGACTCCCCGCCACCACCGCCCGGCTCTCACGCACGCATCTGAGGATGAACCGTCGCTAGTAAAAGAGGGAGGCAGGACACCGGAGGGAGATTTGACGTTGGCTTCGCCGATTTACGCTCACGTTAACTCGGGAGTTGCGATGGTCCAGTCACGGGATGTTTTTTTAGCCTTGCTTCTCTGGGGCAGCACAGGTAAGAACCCCCCCTCTCCCATGTTTGACTTAAATCCTTCCAGCTTTTCTCTCTCCCTGTGTTATTACCGGTTCTAAATGAGTGGTCAGGACCGCAGGCAGCCTCTCCTCTCCGGGTCCTCCCTCTCCCTCCGCCCGCAGCCAGGCACCACTCTTCTTCTCGAGCAGGTGCAACTGTGCTGCGACTGCTGCTCGTCATCCTCCATCAGGGAGCCGTGTTTTATTTCTTATTTCTCCGGAGCCATTTGATTTCTCCGTGGGCTCGCACCACTCTGCTCTTTGCGTGACCAGCCCGCACGCTGACTTGGCGATATTGTGCACTGAATAAATCATGGTGCTCGAGGAGAACTGTTCCGAAAATTGCATCAGTGTGGACGTGAATGGAAATATGGCCGTGATGATTCTAAAGAAAATGTTCGGGATGGAATTGTTGTTGACGGGGTGTGATGCTGGGCTCCCTCCTCCGTGTGTAGTAACACACACACACACACACACACACACACACACACACACACACACACACACACACACACACACACACACTTGTACTTCTATGTCAGTGAGGACAACATAATACATTCCCCTTAGCCTAACCTTAACCATCCAAACTAAATGCCTAACCCCTTAATTCTTACCCTAACCCCTCAAACAGCCCATTGAAGAAGTGAGGACTGGTCAAAATGTCCCCACTTTCCAAAATTGTCCTCACTTTGTAGGGTCTCTGCTTGGATTGGTCCTCACAAAGATATAAGTACAGGAATGCACACACATATCCATGCACACAAACAGCCTCCTTGGTTGAGTCACGGTCTCAGTTAAAGGGACATTGTGCAAAATAAAACGCGTGTTGTTTTGGTGAATGCACCTGCACGGTGTGATGGTGGCACTGAGGAGGGGTCTCCGAAAGTAAAGCACATGAAGTGAGGGTGTCTCCGGGACAGTGTCGGCTTATCTGGTCTCTCTAGCTCACTGATGCATAGCAAGCACAACTTCTACTCTGAATCATCTGTTATGTAATCCACGATGCCACGATAAAGGCTTTGAAATGAGATCCTCTAAGTTGGTCAAATGTGTCGTTATGTAAGTCTCACTGAGGGATTTTTGTGTCAAATTCCATTTTTGAAATCACCTTTGCAGTCACAGTCAACCAATGGTAGATGACGATATTTAGCGGGAAAGAGATGGACAATGTATGATGCTGATATTATGTTAATTTTGTATTTTTCATTTTTTTTTCATCCATTACAACACGTTTAAAATAACAATGAGTCACGAAATTGTTTCACTTGAATTTACCTTTATATGATCCGAATGTATTTCTCACTTGAGCACAGAAAAACATTTGAAAATTAAGATCTGTCCTCTACTTATTTCAAATAAAAAATACATAATCAAAGATGAACTGAAAAACCTCTTATTTGAATGTCTGTAGATACTTTATGTTCACTGGTGCAGACATCAATGCTGATTAACTCAAAATGCCAGATGTTTGCCGATTAATCGGTGTGTCACTGCTTCGTGCACCCATTCTTTGATTAGAATCAGTAATTTGACATGTGAGGTGCTTATGGTTGGAGTAGCGCTCTCTGCTACACCCAGGCTCAGGGTTTTCGTGGCATCGCCTTTTAATCCTTTATGTACAATCCGATATTTACAGGGATGCTCCTCAGGCAGTGGAGGAAAACGCAGTGGGAGTGGAGCCCTAGCTGCACTGTAATGGTAATTAAATTTCTCCTTGGTTCATTGGAGGTTTTTATGTGGAAATCTAAATAAAAAAAATCTCTTTAATTCCATCATTGAATATAAGCATATCTTCATGTGTTTGTGCACAGCTTACTTAAACACACCCTTGTAATACAGCACATGATAATTAATAGAGTACTAACTGGAAACACCTCTTGATTTAATTGTTGTACTAGATGAGCTCAAAAATAAAAAAATAATAAATGATAGTAAAATAATGATGGAATAAATTCCTCTAAAAATTATTTATTCTTTTTGAGAGAGAATACGGTTTTAGATTTTTGCAGGGTTACTGATCTTGAGGTCAGAATATCTGAAGCTGTAAGAAATTCATACTAGGGTTTTAAGACCAGTGACACAAATGAGTTATTAAATAGTTTTATAGTTTAGCCATCAATACTTGGTTGTGATTTGAAATTTTGAATAATCAAATTGTAAATGCCAATATACATTTTTACTCAAATAAATACACATTTTTAAGATTTGTTCTTTTTTTAAATCAAGAATTGTTAATGAAATTCTACTGAAGCCGACAAAATGTGAGCAATAAAAATACTGTGAGTTGCTTTCTGATTATGATGCCACGTCACTCGTTGCTTCTTATTTTGTGTTTTTTGTCAGTCGGCAATCCAGCCTAGAGGCCCATGACTGCCACCCAGTGGTCTGGGTCAATACACTTTTTATTCAGAAGCTCTCTGAGGCCCATTATTTTCAAATCTGAGCGTCTGCGGAGTCAAATGTGAAAATGATTGGTAACATTTGGTTTGTAAGTTTTACACCCTTTCAGACTGGATCCTCAATGAGCCTTAAAATCCTCTTGACCGATGTATTATTCAAACCTCTTCAAACTCGTAAGTGAAATATGGAATCATTTTAAGACTATATGGTATATTTCTTTTGGCCTTTTGACTTTTAATGTTTAATAGTAATAGTGGAGAGAGACAGGAAATATAGGGAGAAAGGAGGGGACATGCAATAAGTGGTTCAGTTTGCCGGGAGTCTAGTCAAGGACCTAGTGCTTTGGGCATGTTTGCCCGTGTGATGCAAGCTTTAATCATTCGGCTATCATGTTGCCCTAAGACTGAATTTCTGACTGAAAATTAAATATAGCCCCCAGAAATCAAAGTGAGAGAGGGAAAGGAAAGCTGGGCAAGATAAGAGATTCTGAATATCCCCAACATGTGGGACTGATGAGGTGCAAGTCTACATTTCACCATATGGCTCTTTTCAACAGGAAAATGTTGCTGTAGTTTAGAGTAGGATTGTTTCCCAGTCTGTGTTACATCATCAGTCAGATCATGTGAAAATGATGACGTAGCTCCATGCAAAGCAACCAGAACACACTGACAGATGTCTCCAGACCTCTTTATAGCTGACTTAGTTTTAATGCGTATAGATCATCATTACTATAAAACGATAGCTGCCAAGTCCAACAGTAGATTTCTCTCTCCCCAAAAAATAAATGCCTTAAAAAATTTGCTTTCTGACCACAGTAGTGTTATCACGATGCCAACATTTTGGTATCGTTCCCGGTACCAACATATTTCGATACTTTTCGGTACTTTTCCAAATAAAAAGAGAACACAAAAAATGTCATTATTGACTTTATTTTAATTGAAAATCTTAGAACTATAACATTATGCATCAGTAAATAAAATAAAATACCACAAAGACAGGCTTACATTTTTTCCAGAGCTACTTTTGTGGAGAGTGAAGGAGGCTGGCGTTGCTTGCTTTTAGCACTGAATGTGGCTTTTTTTCATGGGTATATAATGGTTGCAGCAGCTGCCATTCTCTCTCTGCTCCTGTCTCTCTCTCTCTTTCTCTCCTCTATCTCTCTCTGTCGCCAGACTCCTGCTCCGTTCACTGCTCCACGCTGCTCGCTCACTTGCTCGCCTGCTCGCCCTGGCTTGCTCGCTTCGGCTCAAATTGGTACGCGGTGACGTCATGCGGCGACGTAAAAAAAAAAAGAAAAAAGTACCGGCCTTATCCAAGCGCTGTATAGTACCATTTTAAATGCATCAGTACCCCGGAACCAATTTAGTACCGGTATACCGAACAACCCTAGTCTGGACTAATGTAAAAAAACATGGCAGCCTCCGTATAGAGGGTCCCCTCGATGTAAATATAAGGTATTTAAATATAACGGGCCTTTTCCGGGGTAAATAAAAATACAATTCATACAATTTAGATGAAACAAACTAGTGAAAACATCATGAGGATTATTCTACATTAAATTTCTGCCAATAGGTCCCTTTCACCTAAATCTTACACACTAGACCTTTAATTAAGTACATTTAAAAACAAAGACACGAAGAGCCAGTGTTCACATGGCACAATACAAATATTTACAAAATTATAAATAACATAATAACTTAAATTCAAGTGTCTCTCCCATTAGTCAATGCTAATTACAGCATTCATTCATTTATACTGTTATCTGCTTGACCTACTACTGTCTTGCTCTCCTTTTTCCTCATCATCTTGTTTTCTCTTTCTTTTTTCACTTCCAGATGGATAACTCCTCCTATTTTCCTTAACTTTCATTTTCAATACAAACTTTGAGAATGGCCCTGTACACACCTGGTATTAACATGTAGTTTTTATATGGACAGCTCTGAGTGCGTGAATTCACACCGGGTATTAATTATTAATTATTATATATTAATTATGTGGCCCCACATGCGTCTCATGATTGGATCTCACTTCCCCGCCCTATATGCAAATAAACACCTACATCATTTCTGTTCTAGTCCCTGGCCACTTTATGGGACACTGCTAAAGTTTTTCAGCCCTCAGGGGCCCCCTCAAGTAGTTGCCAGCCTTGCCTGTTCACAAGCAGCGCCTCTGACCACACACCACTGCTGTTTTGCAAACACAAGAAGCAAGTACACTTTAAAGGTTCAGTGTGTAAGATTTAGGTGAGATTTTGTCAGAAATTTAATTATAAAATAATCCTAGTGATGTTTTCACTGCTGTGTTTCATCTAAATTGTATGAATTGTTTTTCTTTCTCTAGAATGGGCTCTTCATATTTAAATGAATTATATTTAAATTGGGAGCGGGTCCTCTCTACAGAGGCCACCATGTTTTTTTACAGTAGCCCAGACTGGACAAACTAAACACCTTTGGAATTTTCTTTTTCTCTATCTTAATGCCCTTCTGCTGCTGTAATGCCCAAATTTCCCCAGTGTGGGATTGGGAAAGTCTATCTATCTAATTTGCTACCACAGGTTCTCTTTCATGTTTGGAAGGGGAG